CGTATAAATCACGCTATGGTAACAACAAAAGGTACAACAAAGTATCGGATTACCGACTGAAGTGTAAATGCGAGTTCCAGAAAACCGACGAGAAGGAAACACGATTGCTGGAACCAGAGTTTCAATCCATTGACGTATCGCGCTCATAATTCCGCCAGGCTCCAACATACTAGATAACGGACAGGCTAAAGAAGAAATCCGGAACCGAATCGCGCGGGCTCGAAATGCATTTCGGCTGCTAACTAGACCACTCTAGTCTCGCTGAGACATCAGCTTACGTACTAAATTGTTAATATGCAGAGCATCCATCAGACCGGTGTTAGTATATGCCTGCAAAACATGGCCAGCCAAGAAGACAGACATTCTATCGCTCGAAGTCTTTGACCGTTGGTGTCTTCGACGCCTCCTAAGAGTCTCTTGGCAGGATCGAATTTCCAAAGTTGAGCTATATCGCAGGTGTTTCAAACTTCCAAGTCTAGTATCATAAATCCAGCATCGCCGATTAGAATGGCTCGACCATGTTCTGCACAAGCCATCGACAGACCTCTGCATATTGGTCGTGAACCCCTCTAGTAGAGCAAACTGGAGATACCGAGGTGGCTGAACACTGTCAAGTCGGATGTCGAACACATGGGCCTCGAAACTGTTTATGACTTGCGACAATGGACCAAGCACTGGGTTGACATCTACGAGGAGCTCGCTTCCGATCGTCGCCAATAGCCGCCGCTATCCGTAACATCCGTGAAGCCGATTCATCCAACAACAGGAGCTAATCGGATCAAGTACTCATACTCCCGTCCATAATCTTAGACTGCATCGAAGTTAATGTACGCACAAGTCCTGCAGCAATTGCAGGATTCAACTGCTATCCCTGTTAAGGGTTCGCATATGCAGCGTAGATTGTCGCAGGTGGTACAATGATTGCCTTATGATCCGCACTTGAGTCGCTGATAGGCATCTTATAAATACTGTAGGACCTATGCTAAAATTATATTTGTCTGATGCAGTCTGTGACAATGGACTCGAGTGAGTCCGACTAATAAAACTCCTGCTGCAGTGATCGTGTATTCCTCGTAAAACTTATCAGATTTTATGAAGAAAAACCCAGTCCTGACATTGGACGATCGATTGATGATAAGATTAATATCGAAAGTGAGTGGGACCTCTACTGTTAACATGATCGCGTTAGTGCTGTTAAAATGGTACAAAACAACCCCGAGGAGGATATTATAAAGACCTTGGCCATAATGGCCTACCGTCTATATTGTTCACGACACCGTCTTTGCTCATGCAATAGAGCACAACACTGGCTGTTGAATAATCGCCTTGTGAAACGCATCTCCAGTGTCCTCGGCCACTACCAACCATCGCTGCAGCCAAACAATCAACCCATGCCTGATAACGAGCAGACCAAGGCTGGCCCATCATCTCTTACAATTCCAGAGATTGTGATGGGGCAGAAAAGACATCTGGATCCAAGAAGGCGCCTCCCTACTACCAAGTACACTATGTTACCTCCACTACAACATCTTCTTGAGTCTGATCCGTCTGTCCAACGTCCATTTAGACTATAATAACCACTGCAACCTCATACGCGACTCATTAAGCGAGCAGATCGTTTCTATAATTTCTTTTGGTTGGACTAGAAATAGTAGGGCCCAATAGTTCACCATGTATGTAGGTATATAAATTATCAAAAAGACCACTGCGTACAAAAGTAGATAAACATATCTGTTATTTCCGCCTGAATAAGTTTGACATTCTCCACGTCCCTTTTCCAGCGAAAATCCTGTCCGACTTACAAATGATTGTTTCCCTATTACTAAAGCTTGCCACTTTCCCTAAACCACGTGCCCCCTTCCTCCCTCGAATGCTGGCCGCCCTCCCCTGTTGACCCATTTACACTCCAATGTCCACGGGTGAAACAGCTCCCAGCAAAGTGCCACTTGAATACTTTCCGCAGCCCCATTCGGCTCCCTTGCTTTTAATTACTTTTCCCACAATGCTGTCGGCTCTCCGCTGCCTCAAGAGACAACTGTTTCGACTAGCCAAGATGAAGACCCGTGAGGTGACTTTGTGACGGAGAGCCAGCTGTCCGCTTCCTTTCCTTCTTCACCCACTTAGCTGCGGCTGCTCCGAGAACCACTCGAACACCCCCCTCCCCTGTTGTTGAGACAGTTATGGGCTTCTGTACACGAAACCCCGCCCCGCTTTCCGCTTACTGTTTCAGACCAATCGGATGACACTTGAACTGCCTCCTGAAGTCACATAAAAGCAGCCGTCGCCCCCTCTCCCACTGATACACACACGCTCTCCCAAGACTGGCTTCGCCCTGTGTGGCATTGTTGAACGTGCGTCGTTCGCTTGTCTAGAGTCAGACGATTTGGTCGACTCTAATGTTCTTGACTGTGTATATGCATTGTTCAGTTTTGCACTCCGTTTATCTTTTACTATTTGCTTAATAGTACCATACCACATTGATAGTTGTCATATTTGGTGTTTGAAGTACGCGTTACTGCTGGATACAGAGTGAGAGGAGTCAATAAAAGAGAAACATTATCCTTGAGGAGAATGTGTAAAAAGGGGAGGGGCGGACTTACCCTTCAGAGGGGCCTGTCCAATGCTGTGAAGACTGGCTGCCAACTCAGCATAGCGCCGAGCTACAGGATGCGGTCGAATAAGGCAGTAAGCGCGGGGTGTAAGATTGATGGCAGCAGCCTCATTAATGCCACCACGGTTGGACCGCGGCAGGTAAGTTGCTGCAGCCTGGCTGAACTGCGAGGCATCCAAGCTGCGCAAGGAGGAAATGTGCGCCTCCAAACGTTCCACAACTTTCATCCACAGGCTG